GCGGGCGATAATCGAGGGTTAGTCAACGGAGGCGGAGTAGAGGCGTGTCGTGGTCGGGTAAAGTGTGCGCTAAAGGTGATGAGACTGTTCGAATTTACTACGTTCTGAAAACACTATCTCCTTGGTTCTGAATGCGCGGCTGTCGGTAGGTAGACTACCACCACAGTGATATCGTCCCGATAGTAGCGTGCGACAGTGGCTGGCATGGAAATATGAGCCGAAATACGTTCTGGGTCCATTTCGTCACCACCCAGAGCTGTCCGAATCAGACGACTAGCAGCCGTGTCACCAGGACCGCAAACGGACGGATCGCCATTGTAATCAAACCAGTGTTGCGCGACGACGTTGACTACTTCCTTTGGCGAAAGCATGTCCCACAGACCGTCTGTACCGAGGACCAGAAAATGGTCGCGATTCTTTATTAACGGCCGCCAAACCACTTGCGGAGTCGAGCACAGGTAAGGTGGTGTCGCATAAAAGGCAGGCATAATAGGATAGTTTGGAGGTAGATCCAGCAACCGAGCTACGTGCTTCAGTTCTTCGGAAGGCCATTTAAAACGAATATCCCCGAAGGCACGGAGTGGCATCAATTCACCCAAAAGACGGTCATCTCGGATCACGAAAGCAGATTCGTGGGTCGGATGACTGGACCGGAGTCGATTCACGTCCATCTCGTTGTCCGCATTATGCGGACTGACCAGTAATTCCGCTTTCCAGTCCAACGGAGAATACTCTGTCGGTAGAGTAAAGCCACCAGCACTGTCGGCTTCTGGAGAATAGCTGGATATTGGAGAAGGTATGAAACTGCCCAACACAGCACCACAATCACCAACTTGTGTTACATACATTTCTTTGCCATTACAAGGGATATAAGCTGATGTGGATACACATCCACTGAACACGATACGCAACAACGCTTTGTCAAGAAATGGGCCACGGTGACTAGGCTGAGCGGAAGTGGACAGATCCAAGTCCAGTCTTTGCAAATTGTTGCGTAGCGATCGAGTTACACCGGCAACGCGATCGTGTAATCGTAGGAATGCCGGATTATCGGGACCGACTAGGAACGGATCGGGGATGTGAACTGCCTGAGACACGGGCTCACTTGACGAGGAACCAGGTGATCCATGAAGCTGATTATTTGTCGAATGAGCGTGCTGCCCATTGGATAGGTCAGCTGACACGGCCTCCTAGATGGAGCGGAGCGGTGCGACTATGAAACCCTCTGGGTCACATATATCACCACTTTCGTTGTCCGCAAAAAAGGCTTCTCCACCCTCAAAAGAGCAGGACAGGGATTCTTCGATGAGTTTACGCAAATGATTCATATGAACTTCACGAACCGAAGCAGCCAATGGACCCCAGATACCCCATGGAGCCCAACGACGACGTGGCGGACCCGCGGAAGGATCTGCATCTGCGGATGTATCGGGCGAATCGGTTCTTGGTGGTCCAATATACTCCGATTCTCCGGTCGGAATTGCTTCCGGTTTGGACCATAATCGCTCGAACAGCTCGTACGAGGTGAACGGAGCGGAGGTTCCTTCAATCGCGCGCAAATCGGACAATACCTGTTCACACAGCTCCGGTGGTAGCATGCCAGCCACAACATAGTCCGAGTGAAGCAGATTGATTGCATGCGCACATGCATGTCCGCCATGTCCATCGACTACGGTGAAAACGGTTCCGCCATAATGCGATCCTTCGGGCGGACAAGTGAGTTTGCTACAGTAAAGGGTATTCTGGCCTGTGTGACCGAACTGATAGGCGGTCCAACGGTCTTCTACCGGTCGATTTACACCAACCTGATTTGCGGAAAACATCACTCGATCGGGTGCATTTGCGTAACTGATCTCGTGACCCGATATCCGTTTGTTTACTTCTGTCTCAGGCACACGAGGCTCGTGGGGTAGATCGAGTTCGTCACCGAAATCCTGACTGTGACATCTGCGTATGATTCGGACTACATTCCTCAATGCTCCCCGATAAAAAGACCCCTTCACAATAAGTTTGTTGCAATCGACGACCATGCACTAATATACAGGGCAGAGAACCGTTAAGGACAGCTACTCCACCCCCCAGTGTACCCCTTCCCTGTCCTTTCTGTGGACTGTGAACTGGCTTAAGACTGGTTCGGGTATGTGGTCTTTCTGCGTTAGCCACATTTGAAACTGGATAATTACCTCGATTTCTGGTTCCGCAGCCACTGTGGCCAGCTCTGCCTACTTATTCCTAATATTACATGCATTGGCGTGCAATAGTACCAATGCTTTCCTGTCCCCCAACGAGTGGTGTTCGTTCATTCGGGTTTTCTCCTCGGGCGTAACACCCGAGTAGGCAACCCATTTTTTGGCAGATCTACCGTTTCAGTTGCTACTGCAATCACCGTTTCCTCTAGCTCGGGGAGCTTGGAAACGTGTGCTGGTCCAGGTGACAATATTGGCTGGCCGAATGTGGTATTATTTGATTGCATTTGAGTTTCATTTACTAACGTGAGATGCTCAAAGATAGGCTCAATTACCAACAAATGTTTTGAGTTTGCTACGACCCGTGGTGCCCTGGGCAGTTTTTTAGCTTAGCCCCAAATCGTTCTCTGTTCGTCATGTAGGTTGACGGTTTTCTATTCATTTCCGTGACTTGCGGTTCATCAGGGACTATTTTGTATCGACTTTGGTGGCGCTCTATACTAAGTCTGCTCGGGATAGTTGCAGATCCCTATCTAGGAGTCTGGCAAACTCCATCGGTATGGGTCTAGCTGGTGCCTGTGCTGTTTCCGGGGTTGGTGTTTTGCACCCTCTGACTCGGTATACTCTCTTAATTGTTAAGTTTGGCGGAGCCCCGGATAACCTGAGCATTTCATGGACTCTACGTCTGTCCATTTCTCTACGGGCGTTTTGTTTCCTTATATTAGTCTCCTCATTGTTAAGTATGAGGAGGTTTCTTGTAAGTTCAACTTTAGGGATGCTTACTGCAAGGAGGGTACTCAGTTGCTTCTTCAGCTGCTCTCTTCAGGAGCTCCTCTTCAAACCTATCTCTATTCCCGTGTGATGGAATGTTACTACCCGCTCCCCATTTAGGCCCGCGGTTTGTCTCAGGACGGTTTACACCCAAACTATCTTGGTGTTGATCACAGGTAGCGGCTTATGCAATGATGTGGATACCGCTACTACCTTCCAGGTCCCAGGCAAAATTGTTTGCCAAGAATACTTTGTCTGCGGTTTCCACTTTTCTTGGCTTGAGGTGACCTTAGCGTAAGTTCTGAAGGTTGCTCTGGTTGTTGCCGAGATTTTAGGGCTCTCGAGACGCTCACCGTTCAGCTTGCCTCTGACCTCTGACTGCCGCTTCGAAGTTAACACCTTCCTTACCCTAAAAATGAATTTTAATCCGTCAACTGTGGCTGCTCAATCTGTAACTTTTCTTCCGGGAAATTAGATTAAAGCCACTGCACCGTTTGAGAGGCGAAACATTGTTTTTTGAGGTCCGCTGCAGTCGGAATCTCGCAACCGATACTTGTTGACGATCACGGACGAGTATTTTCGATTCAAGTTTCCTTATGCCTGCTCTGACCTAACAGCTGCTACAGTCATCCGGTGTCTCACCTATTTATTCTCTATCTTTAGTATGCCTTCGTATATACATTCTGATAGGGCTTCGTCCTTCATGTCTGAGGAGCTCAGGGATTTCCTTCATAACAATGGCATTGTTTCCAGCAGAACAACAGCCTAGATATCGGGCCTTTGTTACGATCGCCGGCCGGCCTACTGGTTTCTCGCTTTGGACGTATAATTGCATGGTGTGAGGAATCTCTTAGCGGCGTCACTTTATCGAGGGTGATATCAGCAAACGCCTGAAAACGGTAAACCTGGGCACTTAGAGCTATCGTTCCAGTATATGGATAGTGTCCGACGACGTTTCTGTGGGTGATCGAGGGAAAGCGTCAACGCTTGAACCTGTACAACTAACTCCTTGACGCAAGCCCCTAGTTCAGCGTTGTCCGCCGGAGACGGTGCTTGCGCGGATTGCGAGATGTGTTGGACCAACAGTTGATCAGCGCAGACCCAGTACGCCATTTCTGCGATATCGATT